CCATAGCGTTGCTTCTCCGTTCTCTCTTCTACCCCGCTTCTCCCAGTGAAGAGGAAAACTGCGAACTTGAAGCGGGGCTCGAACAACTTTGTTTTCCATGTATCCTGCAGATGGTCTTCGTGCGCTCGTCCATATTCTCTTCCATTTTTGCTGTTTTTACTTCATGTGGTCTAGAGACTTTTTATTTCCTTTTCAATACAGATGCGAAAATACGCAGTACCTTCCTGGAACACATGAAGTAGGTTTGAACAAAAGTAGCGAAGAGAGAATAAACGAGCGCACGAAGACCCATCTTCCCGGATGCATAGAGCAGAGCGTTAAATTCTCAACCCCGCTTCAAGTTCACAACTTTTCTCATCTTCCCAGTCAGTATCAATCCTCTGGAACTAAAATCTGATGTCAAGGTCAAAGAAGTCTTTGATGACGAAGATGTTTTGGATATCATCAGCCGCTCTGGCAAAAATCGTTTTGCATCCACAACCAGTGAGCTTTTTCTCGTCAGTTTTGGTATATCAAAAGTTTCTCCTTTTTTTAAAGTAACCTGTACTCTGTTTCCTTCCTGAAAAAGAGGCGGATGCTAGCCGTTGGACCAGAGCACGTTTAGAATAATGACGAGACAGTGACGACGTGCTTCAGCGGGCTGAGCCATAATCGCCGACATTGTGATTTTTTGGTGTTTGTTCGTTAGCTCTCCTTGAAGAAGTCTTTTGCTAATCTTCAAGTACCTTAGAGCTGGTTTCAACTAAGTTCACACTATGGAGCGAATCAGAAACCGCTCTCACGGTAGGTTTACGGTAGAAGCTGCGAGGAGACTTTCAAGTAAATAAGGGCCTATTTTACATTTAAAAGAAAACCAGAGAAGCTAAAAACTTCCACACTAGTTAAGTCCGAGTTACTAATTTTAATTATGAAACTCGCACTTGGCCGTGATGCTTTTTTTCTCCGTTATGCAAGATATACTGCGAAAGTCGATTTTTCGATTACACTACACAAAATTTACAGAAATTACAGAAATTACTTAAAGGAATCTGATTACGCTTTTTGAAAGCTCTGAAAATTCCGGACTGTTGTGTAATGAAATCAGCTTGCATGAAACCTTAAAGGTAGCGATACGGCAGAATGATAATTTGGGATATTCATCGCTCTCGGTTCCCCTAGACGAGCTACGTCCAAGATTGTGCTTTGCAGCTTCAAAAGATGTCGGTAATTCGCCTTTCCCGACGTGAAAATGCTATTTGGGCGGACCGCGTATCCTGCTTTCTAGAGCGCTATTGGCTTATGAGTGGAGACACCGTACCTACCGTACCCACGAGCCAATCGCGCTCGAGGAGAGGAATACGTCGTCCGCTCAAATAGCACTTTTCACTTTTGGAAAAGCGGGTTATTGATATCTCTTGAAGCTGCAAAGCACAGTCTTGGACTTAGCTCATCCAGGGGAACCGAGAGCGATGAAGATCCAAAATTTGTCATTCTGCGAGCCGCTGCCTTTGATAGACGATTTCTTTACATTATTTTGAAAATTTTCTGCTCAAACGGCCTATCCCACAGTGGCGCCACTTGCTGCGAGTTTCTACCGTAACCACAGTGTAATAAAGAGCGAACAGTGCTTCTCTTCATACTTCAAATCTAAGTTGAAGGCAGTTCTACAAAACGGTACCTAAGGTAGGCAAAAAACTTCTTAGGAGGAGAGATATTTGATTAAACAGTGTGTACATACTTTTAAAACACTCTGTATAACAATTCGCGTTTGCAGTCTAGGTGAGGTTGGCTGACTACTCAATTTCCTAGATGTACGCTGAATTGCATGTATTTAGCGTCCCACATCGGATCGCGATCCCAGGTGGCACCCACAAACTATGGGCTAGTAGATCTGTCGCTTATATGATGTCCACTAATTGTGGTGAACTTGAAGAATTTCCTTTTATTTGGTTCTTTTAAAAGATATTTTCCCTGATTTTTTCCGACACCGAAACCCACTTTTCTAATTCATACCGCAAAGCAGCGTAAAGACATGTCCCGTATATCGTAGGTCGCTTTGGATGAGCTCTGTCTCAGATTACCCCCCCCCTTCCCCACATTCTAAGTTAAAGGCTACGTCCAAGCAACTTGAGAGTGGCAAGATTTCAATTCTATTAGGTTGTTACATAAGTCTTGTTACACTTTACTTCTTACGGCGATAAGTCAAGCACCTCACATTCTTTACAGGGCTCCAGGGCACCAATCGATAGAGCAAAGCAAGCTCTACAAGATAGTGTGCAAAAGTGCGCACGAACTTCGACCCACTATAAGTTTGCATCCAAAATCTGAGTCGTACTGAAGGCTCAAAAATCACGAAAAAGTCATATCTTTGCTCAAAAAAATTCTAGAAATTTCTAACTTGCTCATAAAAATTGCACACTATATCAGACACTCATATGTACCGTTGCTGTATCTCTTCCTCATCTAGAAATCGAGAAAACGAAAATTTTCTTGTTCTTACAAAAAGCAAGCTATGCTGCTTCTATTTATGTAGTTGTATACTAAAAGCCCTTAGAAGTATAAACGTAAATTTTCAACTTTCCAGAAGCCCTAATTTTCAAATACCGAACTTTGCTTTTTTCGCTTGGGTGTTCAATGCTAAATTGGGTGATTTTCGAAAACTAGGGATTCTAAAAAGCAGAAAATTTACGGTTATACTTTTAAGGGCTTGTAGTATACAGCTACATAAATAGAAACAGCATAGCTTCGTTTTTGTAAAAACATGAAAATTTTCGTTTTTTCGATTTCTAGATGAGGAAGAAATACAGCAATGGTACATATGAGTGTCTGATACAGTGTGCAATTTTTATGTGCAAATTGGAAATTTGTAGAATTTTTTGGGCTCAGATATGAATTTTTCGTGAATTTTGAGCCTTTAGTACGACTCAGATTTTGGATGCAAACTCATAGCGGGTCGAAGTTGGTGCGCACTTTTGCACACTGTCTTGTAGAGTTTGCTTTGGTTTATCGAATGCTACCCTGTAGCCCTGTAAAGAATGTGAGGTGCTTAACTTATCGCCGTAAGAAGTAAAGTGTAACAAGACTTATGTAACAACCTAATATATAGTAGCGAAGCCTCGAACGAAGTTCCCAAGTCCCGCTGTAAAAGATGGATTCCAAAGCGGGAAAATAGCTCCAGAAATTAGACGCGGCCAAGATTGCTCCGCCCATCAACATGGGCGGAGCCATCTTAGCCGCTTAGCCTCTGAAAATAAAGAGCTGGAAAGTGATATCGGGTGGATAAAAATAATGAAAATCTTGTAAATATAATGAATGGCGAATTACTGACAATTTAAATTACAGAGTCTAATTTTGGACTTGTTATCTTAGACCACTCACGCTGATGGGCGGAGCCACCTTGACCACCTTTATCTTCTGGAGCGATTTCCTTGCTTTGAAATCCATCTTTTGCAGGGGGAGTTGTGCGATCATTTAGTTAGGGGCTCCGCTATCATACACCATTGAAGCCGAACACCCACAATTTGACTGGACAGTGCTTTAACAACATGTGCCGGTCACCCTATACCGTCTTCGAAACCACCACATAGTTCTTTAATAAATGACGGGGCCATGCTAATTGTATTTTCCCTGCGTAGCAGGATTTGCTTGTAGAGCGTGGTGGAACGAAGGCTGGTAGAATTAAACGGTGATTGACTTACTTCTGCGAACCGATTGCAGCTATAAATTGCTCTGTGAGTTTTGATTCATAGCGTAGGCACATAAATTTATACTGCTGCTTTTTGAGTTGTGTTCATTGATTGTTACGGCTATCTACAAATCAGATAAATATTGCTATTTCTCAATATTGTCTGGGTAGAAGGTCATTTCGATTAAAATCATTTACGTTTTCGGGAGCAAGTGCTTTAGGGTTTTGCTAGATCATGTACTTGTATCGGCTGGGCCAGCGCGCAGATTCATCAAACGGCAGTCCCAAACCGCTCAGCGACAATTCATTCTATACTTATTATTGTTAGAATCGCCTCGAACCCTAAAAACTATCATCTGTTAGACAAGCACTTGGAGCAAAAAACCCGGTGATTTTTTTTGGCAATGCCCGCAACCGATAGTCCGTCAGATAAAAGCGTATATCAGAGGCGTACCTGAGATTTCCGTTTTCCTTCCCCCCCCCCCCTTGAAAATATCTTGACTGCCGTTGAAGGCTACATACCTAAGCAATGAAAAAACTGAGGATTTTCGTAAATCACTACAGGCTAGCGTTTGCAAATATTCTTTTTTGTATAGCTTGCAATAATAGTCACCAAAAAAAAAGAACGACAAATATATGCAATTAAAATTACAGATTTGCCTGCCATTTTCATTGGCGACAGTTCGGCTGAACTTCGGAACTAAACAAAAATTGGACCTCCATCCAAAAAGATTCTGCGTACTTGGTCACTCCCCGCATCAGACAATCATATGCACTGTACATTTATTTATGGCTGAATATTGAAAAGGGTCAAAAATAAAAATATATTGCGTTTTCTGGGTTTTTTATGCTAAATATGATATTAGTCGGATATTAGGTTGACCGGAAGTTATGTTGCTTCCAATTTAAAAAATTCGCAGCTGCTCGCTGTAGACGCTAAAAGGTAAAATCAAATAGGGAAATACTATCCGACCTCTTGATATTCTGGAATGATTCGTCAAAAATCTGGAACGCTGCCGAAAAATCTGCTTTTTTTTAGCATGCGTTAACATACCAACTTTGACCTTTATTGACATGTTTGAAAGAGCTTTTCCTGCATTTTCGAAAAATTGCACAAAACAGCAAAAATCATTTTTTAGCATTTTTCTTCTGTTAAAAAGAGCCGTTTGCGTAGATTGTAACAATGCCATTTTCAGATTTTTCTGCAGCGTATCAATTTTCGAGAATTTATTCCAGAGTATCAACAGCTTAAGTGCTATTTGCCCTGCCGCGCTAGCGCAGAGTGCATCAAGAGGAGGAACTGTTTATGAACAGGAGTGAACTGTTTATTATGATTGCAAGCACAGAACATGAAATGGAGCATACATTTCCCTGAATATTTGGTTCACAAAATTTTTATTTTCCTTTCTTGATGAGATCCTCGAGTGGAACATTGCCGCCGTTCGCACATCGCGAGCAAACGCACGTCTTGCGTCCCTTTCTGTTCTCGCAGTATCCAGTTCCACAATTCTGCAATTAACCATGTTTATGTTTTAATGCTGGTTTCATGTTATTAGGAAACTATAGCTACTATCAGATATCACTCTAGTGAGAAAATCTCTGTTTTGAGTGTAAAACAAAGTCAGTTTTTTGGAATGAAACCTTTTCAATCTCGCCAAGACTTTTTCTCGGAGGAAACACAAACTAATTATTATTTTGTGATTTCGCTGCAATCATGAACCCGCGAAATCTTGTAATAACTAGGAAACTCCATTTTCTCTGTCAAGTTGTCAAAGCAAAAACTCTTTGGTACGAATTATTTTTGAAAAGCATAGCCAAACTTAAGCAATGATTTGAGAAAACTTTATACCCCCCCCCCCGAGAAAGGGTCGCGATATTTTTGAAACTTACTTACATGGGTTGTAAAATGTGCCGGGGGCGTGGCTGGCGCCTTTCTCTAGATTTCAGAAGTTATGGAAGCGTAAAAACTTGAGATACACATCAAAATTTTTTTCGTGTTGCGCGGATAACGCCATGCACTTTTATTTGAAAATTTTTTTGCAGCTCCCCCCCCCCTCCGGCCGAAATCGTGCGACCGCCAATGCAAAAACCGCTAGCTTGCTTCCTTCTGAGGATAGGTCCAATACCAGTGATGATTTTTTCTTACCAGAAAAATGAGAGATGCCCGTCTCACTCACCTATCTTGTGCACATTTATTTTCGGAATTTTATCTGATTTCCTCCTTTGATTAGGTTACCTGTACACTGCAGGATGTTATACAAGCTGCTCGAGCAGCTTTGTCGAGAATTGGCACATCCATTCTGGCACAGGTAGTGAGATAGATCTGAGTGCTGGCCAAACCAAGAAGGGCGAATAGCACGGTACATAGGAGGAGATTGTTCATTTTTTGCTAAATTGTCAGTTATTGTAAATGACTATTAAATGGGATTTTTAGACAGATGAGAAGAAAAGGGCATAATTCCTAAGTGGAATGCAAATGTTGAAAGGATAAACTGCTGTGTGATAAAGCTAGCTATCCTTGACCTGCACTCGCGAAATTTATAGGCTGATTTACGCCCCCTAAAAAACTTGTGAGTAGGCTGTGCAAATAATCTACCGTGACTGAATAAACGAGATTTCCACGTCCACAAGCGGCGTAATCGTGGTGATGGCCTTTGAAAACATTGCGATCATTGAGTTTATCTCTCATGCTGACGAATGCACTGCATGGTGTCATGTTTTGTGACTCACTGAAGTTTTAGGCAGAGATCGTAGACGAGTTTGACTCAGCAATGAAGGTTTCTTTATCCACTGGTCACTTAGTATGGGTCATCGAGTTTCGTACACATTTCTATGTACTGAAATATACAGTGTCCCAAAAAATTTGCACACTGTCTGAGTCAATAATCCTCTTGCTTCAATGCCTTTTGTCAATTCTTAGGTACCATTCTGTAAAGCTGGCTTCAACATAGGTTTATAGTAGAGAGCGAACATCCAATCTCTCTTCTTAACGTAAAATTACGGGATGAACTTTGATATTCCAGGGAAACAGTAAAAGCTGCTCTTTCAATGTTCGCTATGTAATTAGATCGAAGGTCAAAAAAACTTGAAAGTATTGAAACGTATTCAGCACGCTTGAAAACCATGCTACACAATCTTCTAGTTTTTTGGAGGGCAATTTCTTATCAAACGGCCTATTTCGAAATGGCGCTGTATGCTGAACGTTTATACCGTAATCCTACAGTAGTGAAGAATGATCGGGCATTCGTTTCATAATATCAGGCTGCTGCATAAGTTTTGTCCGATTTGAACTTTTTGAGCTCAAAATGTCACAACTTCTTTCATTGTCAACTTTTTTCCAAGATCGTAATTTTCATGCGTTGAGCTGCTCCTTGTTATCAGACACGTGTAGAACCTGCGAAATTCATTGCTAAGGAGAAAAAGAATAAGCAAGGACTCAAAAACTTTGCAGCGTTTTTCTTCAAAACTGTCTTTTTTGACATGGCAATGCTCCCTTATGGGAATTGATAGGGACCTTATCTAATAAATAGATCAATTTTCGTAGATTATTTTGCAACATAAAAGAGCCCATAGGGTCTGCGTTGCCGAAAGATTTTTTTGACCGAGCAGAAAAGAAGCCATTTTTTCACTTCGCTTCAGCGCACGTATGTGCGCCTAATTACGAATTACGAATTATGCAATTTTTAGAATCGGCGTGAGCGCCAAAGGAATTGGTGGATAGATCCTTCTGGCTCTTGCTTTACCCTAGCATCTCCAACTCTGATCTCATCGATTACTTCTATAACATCTACACAAAAAATTGTTCGACAATAAATTTCACCAGCAAGACGCTTTCTTCATGGAACTGAGCTACTGCATATACTAGCCTTCTACACCCTTATTCCGCAACCAGTGAAAGAACTTGACCTGAAGGGTGCATTGTGGAGATTTTCTCGTAGGAACATATTTCTAGGGTGAGGACGTACCTCGGCCACTTGTAGATTTCAGGCCTGAAATCTCCCTACACTAAGAAACTTATTGAAATTTGATATGCGTTAAAAAGAGCAAGAGAAGCACTTTTCAATGATACTAACAATACTGCATTAGAGATGATTTTCTTAATACAGCTGCTTCAAACGTAAGGCAAAACAAAATTGGACAGACCTCAGCAGCCTAATACAAATCTACATACTTTACAGAATGGTACTTAAGATTGAAAAGACACCGAAGAAAGCAAGTTATTAACGATACTGCGCACATTTTTTGGGACATGATGTATTTTGAGAGGATTCACCGTGCTGCTGTAATTTTGTGCAGGACGACGACTGTAGCGCGTGATAACTCGGCGCGGCTTTTGTCCAAGGTGCCGGGCAGTGTTCATGCGATTTCATCTGCAACGCGATCTAATAGTATTTTAGATGTTTCAGATTCAATACTGGCAAACTGCAAATCTAACGAGTGCATGTACAAAAAAAATTGATAGAATTCCTTTTTTGTACATTTGTATCGCATTTACGACGACTAACAATCGAGTAGATTTTCTGCTCAATGTATTCTGCTTGCGATGCCGAGAAAATGCGGTAGAGTTCGCGCATGAACGAACAAATAGCCTTGCCAGAATGCCGGCATTTTGCGCGCAGGGCGGCATCACAGGCGTAGCTTTTTGTTCACGCGCAGATTTTATCACATTTCTCCGGCAACGCAAACACATTGTATTCAGCAAAAAATTAATAGCACTGAATGTTGAAGTGTTATATCATTCGCGACTAAAATCGCGTAAAGTTCCCTAAGGCACAGGGTGACACGGTCGAGAGACGCGTAATGAACAGTTGTCATTACAAAGAGAAGCGGAGAAGAAGTTCTGGGGTGGTGTGTCTCAATCTCCCGTTCGGTTGGATGTTCTTGCATAAATCGTTATCCACTGGACGCGGGACCCAAGGCCCATGTTGCCCGACGTGAGAGCCTGACCGTGCATTAGCTAGGAAAATCACCGGTCAGGCAGAATCGTGTAGGTCTGCAATGCCTGGACACCTACCCGGTCTTGTTCGTGTACAAATTGTGTAAAAAGCTCGTATCTTGATTAGTTGGCCGACATTAGATCGAACGAATCATTCCTAGTCATCAAGTAAGATTCAATAATTGTTATGTTGCAGAAGACTGGTTTGAGTTGACATTTGATCTGATTCGATTGTAAAATCTACAAGAGTTTCAGAGCTTGATCTCTCCAGTTTGGGCTCTGAAACTCTTGTAAATCTTAAGATTGACTCAAATAAAATATCAAGTCAGACAAATTTTTTGCAACGTAAATTTTGAATCTTGCTTGAATGACTGATGATTGAATCGTTCCATCTGCTAACTTTTCGGCCACCTTATCAAAGAGTCATCAATCATCGCTTTTTTACACAATTTGTACACAAACGAGATCAGGTAGGTGTCCAGGCATTCCCACCTGCTGACTGACAGGGACTTACGTGGCTCAGTACGGTCAGGCGCCCAACTTCGCGCATCATCGGCCTTCATCGCCCTCGTCTGAGTGGATGACTTGTGCGGGAACACCCATTCGAAAGAGATATTGATTGGTACACCTCTAAAATTCCAATTTTTTCGTTTGTGTGCCTCAACTACGTGATGCTTCCCCATCTTGTCTGGGATATAAGCCGTCCGAATTGCGCGGAATGCAAGTTGCGTCAGTTGAAAATAGACCGCGACTGAAGAGGAGCAGAGAACGCGCGCTGCGCAGACGGCCTACAGTAATAAAATTTCGTATTTTGAAGGCCTCACTCTGGGATTACGAATCCAGTCTGACACTGAAAACTGCTGAAACGCGCGTTCTTCGACATCCACCTTTGCCCAAGCTAAGGGGGGGGGGCATCGCCTCATACACGGCAGGTTGAGACAAGTCACAAAGGCGGCTATTGGATACTTAATGCATAGAAGCCGTTTCCAGTTTCTTCGTAGTCTTGAAGTCGGCAGGCACAATATATTGCCTCAGCACTGCTAAAAGGAAGCCGAACTGCTCATTCAGTCTTCAAGCTTCCTCTAGATATTGCTCATTCAGAACGCCCTGTATGCGTCATAAGCAAGGGCACAGGGAAAGCGAAGGTGTTACAAGAAATCAAACTCATAGTTTGAGACGAGTGCACCATGACGCATAAGAAGTCCCTAAAGCCCTCGATTGCAAGCTGTAGGACATATGAGGGAGCAACAGGCTAATGAGTGGGGCCGTCGTGTTACTGGCAGGCGACTTTCATCAAATTCTGCCAATGATTCCGCGGTCGACTCCAGCAAATGAACTGGACGCTTGTCTCAAAGCTTCGCATTTCTGGAGACATATTTGATCGCTGAATCTCACGACAAAGCAGTCCAACTCCTTGACGATGAGGCTCCCAGAAGTTTGCGCAAAAATTGTTGCTTCTAGGCAAAGGCAGAATTCCGGTTGAACCAAGTTCTGGCTGGATTACCTTTCCTCAAGACTTCTGCAATATGGTTCAATCGGTGGGAGAACTGATCGAAAAGGTCTTCGCAAGCATTGCCACCAACTTCAGCAATGGGGAGTGGACTTGCGAGCGAGCAATTCTGGGTCTCAAAAATGAGCAAGTGAATTGTATCAATGTCAGATTCTAAACAGCTACCTGGACCGGTGTCAACGTACACATCCATTGATACGATGGTTCAGCGTGAACAGGCTGTTTACCTCCTCAATGAGTGTTTGTAATGGGATACCACTACACAGACTTGATCTAAAGGTTGGTTTACCGATCATGATCTTTCGTAACATCAACCCACCGAAGATGTGCAATGTTACAAGGCTTTGCATTATTAATCTCATGCCAAACGTCATAGAAGCGACCATACTGGTGGGGAAGTTCAAAGGTGAAGTCGTTCATATTTTACGAATGCTTTTGGTCCCCTCCGATATGCCCTTTGACTACAAGCGAGTGCTGTTTCCGGTCATGCCTGCACTCGCTGTGACGATCAACAAAGCGCGGAAAAGTCTCTGCAAACAGCAGGTAGACCTGGAAACTCCCTGTTTTTCGCAAAGTCAGCTGTACGTGGCGTGTTCGAGGGTCGGAGTTCGGCGAACCTGTACATATATGCGCCTGAAGGGAGCTAACGTGGTGTATCCTGAGGCGCTAACATAATTGCATGTTGTAGTATAGCAGAGTATTTATTTGTTGTATGCCATTCTATTGGAAAATCCAAAAAATTGGAAAATATAAAATCCAAAAAATTGGAAAATACAAAATCCAAAAAACGGCAAAAAGAAAACCCAAAAAAACTGGCGGCCAGGGGCGGTCGGGGAAGGTGGGTGGGACGAACAAGGAGCTGAACAGATCCAATCGAGTTTCCTTCCTACTGATGAGTTCCGAGGAAAGCCTAGGACCTGTTTAGCCAAACCGTCTAAAGGTAGGAACGAAACGGTACAACTGAAGAGCCGAAGTTGTTTGCATTCCTCTTCTTGGGGAATACGACTTCGGCTATTTTTACCAAAGTGTACATGGTGCCGGGCGGACCCGGTATGCCAGCTAGTAAGTAAATAAATAAATTATGTAAGCGAAGTTTGAGTTGCAGCCTGCTTGCTGTTAATCAAAACAAAAAATTTCAAAATGTAGTAAAGATCAAGTTGCCCCATTTTTTGCCGTTCATTCTGATAATACCACTAGATGACAGGTCACAGGTATAAACTTGTACAAACGATTAAGCTTGTTCGAACATTCTTTGCAAGGCATAGTCGAATTTCCCAGTCTCATGAATGATAACATCATTATTCAGTCCTGCATCGCGGCGGTTGGTAGCTATGAAACACGTCACCAAAATTTCCCTGTAAGTATCCAAGATTTCGCTTGCATAGAGCTTCATCTTCATGGCAAGCCTGCTCGCAAACTTTCATGTTGCGACGGAATTGTACATAATGACCTAAACTCAGCTGTTCTGCGGTTTTCGCTTCTGAATAGGGGATGACATAGGGCTTAGAACGTTTACCGCCTGCGACCGTGCAAAGAATGGCTGGGCAAACCGTCTTTCCTGGTGAGACGATCGCCGGCATGCTAGCCGGACTAGTCAGACTTTCGCACCGGCCGGCAGCGGCTGGGAAAGCATTCTAAGCCGTTCGGACAGTTCATGCGCACTCGCCGGCTGATCATGAAACGTTCGTCGGCCAAAAATGGCAAGACCACCAGCTGGCGTGGTAGCTCGGAAATTTGCTTTTTGGCGCTGTAGGTCGATTTGAAGCACGTTCTAAGGGGGATCATGCAAAAATTTGGAAAACTCGACTTGTACAACTTCTCGCTCCTGTCCAATATGTTTATGGTGAAGGACAAAAAAATCATTATGGATACGACAGCGTGAAATTAGATATCTGGATCTTCAAGATATGAAGCTTTTTTATAAATTGCTTTCTCCTCCAAGAGTTATTTGATTGAGCTGGAGATTGTGAGCTGCCATGACTCAACCTCTGAGTCGCTTTCGCTATACTGCTATACTATTATATGTGTATACCTGTGCGTCACCTCTGCTTCACAGAGATTCGCATTGGTTCTACAATCCGTATGCCTTCCTCGCGATCGCATAATTATGACTTTATAACTTACCGCGCAATGCCAAACATCATGACTTATAATAACTAAAGGGCCTGTAGCAGCACTTTTTGAAAAGTCATGGTGCTTGATAAGTTAATGTGCAAGCCATGACATTAGCCCAAGAAAGTAAGCAAAAGTTTGTAGACTTAAGGCTCCACTTTGCATCCCTTTTATATCAGATAAGGTTAGCGCGGCAATTAGACGATGCATTCACCGAGCTGAACTGCAGAATGATGTGATATTGGTTGAGGTACCGAAAGATAACATTAAGAAGCAGCTAGTTCGGAATAGACTCTACGATTACGAATGCATAGTAGATGAATGCATCGTATGCCCGTACGGCAATGTTGGGGATTGTGCAAAGGCAGGTGTGATATACCAGCTGGAATGTTTGAGCTGCCAAGACTTCTACATAGGAGAGACGGGTAGAGCGTTGGGTGTAAGACTAAAGGAACACTTGGCTAGCAAAAGACGTGGGATATTAACAACACCGTTGGGAAGACACAAAGCTGAGGCACATGGTGGAAATGACTTTAAAGTCAAATGTACCATTCTGTCTTACGAGACTGAGATTTGCGCAAGAAAAATCCTTGAGGCAGCATGGATACTTACGAGGAATCCTAAAATGAATGCTAAGAATGAATGCGTGTCAATCAACAGTGATCTCTTGCCGTTCATACCGCTATGCAATCTGAACAACCGCACATAAATACCCTTGACTCACTGGGTGACACTCAGTGACGTCCGCTATTGTCCCATTGTGCGGACTTACTGGTATGCGGTGGAGTTAAGGTTAGCTCGTTTCACAACTTTGATGGTTTCCCGCTGGCTGCTATCCTCCGATAAGGTCTAGACTAGCACTCGTGGAGGAGGCTCTTGGCGGCGTACTGGTCAAATCCAAAAACCTATAATCTACGTTCAGACCTCTTGAAAAAGACGAGCCCGTCGAAACGTCGGTCGAATAAACATCCACCAAGAAACCTGGTTTCGGCACAACAATCATTTACTGACACATAAGCAAAAGTTTATTACTCCACGAAAATGGCGCCAAAAAGGATTGGTTGCGTAACTGCTCAATTTACTTAGATTTTACTTGACTTTGTAAAGATTTTTGCACAGAGATGTAGCCCACGTTGGTTGTTGTTCTCAAGGCACTACCAAGCCATGAAAAAATCAAAAACCAATTCAAATTTCCATTTGTTCTTCTGGAAAAAGTTCCATACACATGAAAATACCGATCTCAATAAAGCTTCATGAATGAGTAGTTGTTTACAGATTATTCGTGATAGTTTGCATAGCGCAGTGAGTTCCACCGGCATTATTGCGGGAGTGAATGAGGCATACGGACGGTATAGAAATGCCTGGCTCTCGGTATATTTTGTAGGACCAGTGGCCGTATTCATCATTGAAACCTTGAGGTAAACTCCACCTCCACGTAGTTTTATCACTCATTATCAGCAAGTGACCGTATTCACAAAGTACCTTGAGGTAAATTCTCAATGTAATTCTGCTGGTAATGAGTGATAAAACTACCTGGAGGTAGACTTTACCTCAAGGTAGCAATGATGGATACGGCCACAGTGCGAGCCTCTGCGAAGCAGAAGTGACGCACTGGTCTACAATATGGTGTTATCGACTGCTCATTCTCACAGGATTCCATGTGAGATCGGTGATTTTGAGAAAAAAGATTTTCTGCAAACGAACAGATCCGAATGCGGATGAATTACTGAATTTATTTCAACATCATTGTTCTCATAAGGATAATAAACTGCATGGGCTACATCTTTGTGCAAAATCTTCTCAATCTATTAGATAAAACCTTGACAAATAGAGTGTTCAAGCAATCATTTTTTGGCCGTGTTTTAGCAGAAAAACAGACCTTCTGAGCTTTCTTGGTCTAAAATTTATGGCTCGCTCATTTATTTTTCAGACAAATACATGACGTTGAGAAAATCGATTCAGCGACCCATTTTTGCGTGCCAAAAGCCGAGTGGACTCGCTCTAGGTGAAAATTTTCGAAGAATCCGTGTATCGGACACATTCGTCATTGAGCAGGTTAAGCCTACATACTGTCAGCGTGCAGTGCAAAAACTTGGTTCGAGACGTACTCTGAGGCTCGCTTTACGATTTCTGTGCCATTTTGACAGACAGACATATCATTCATTCTATGACTAGGAGGGGAGACGCGGGACCGCATTGAGTACATTGTCTAAGCAAGCTCAATCGTGTACTTAGGCAAGTTTATACTTGTTAATATCTCGTACCGGTTTATTCACTCTTTAAAGAGAGGAAGAACAAACCCATACTTGTTAAGACAATGTCCGCAATGCGGTCTTACCTCTCTTAGTTTTGGAATAGATGATACATACACGCAAAAAATGACAGACTTTTAGCACTTCAGTATAATATATGAATGTGTGCCCGACAGTTGCTCCAACTTATACAAGACGAATATACGACTGATGTGACCAATGGAACAGCTAGAGAGGAAGATTCATTGCAGAATGACAAGGCAAATAAAACACAAAAATAAAGAACAAAGTGAAAATGAGTTGCTATAGAGGGAGGGAAACACAACCTTATTTGGTAAATGTTCTTGGTATATTTGATTATTTCCAATCTAGTAGGAGTGGACACCTTAATTGGAACTTCTCATCTCACACTGTCTTAGACTCCGATCTCATCGGCGTCTGTCCCCCTGGGTATATTTGGCCACACCTGGCGTATCCAGGATTTGTGTTCGGGGGAGGGGGGGGGAGAAGAGGGAACAAAAATTTTTTCTGATGAAGGTGCATGGCGTTAGCATAGGTCGATAGGGGGAGCCGGGCTCTCCCCAGGTGAAGGGGGTCTCGGCTGTTCCCGACCTTCCAGGGTGAAGGGGGTATGTGAGTCTGGGGGGGGGGGGGGAGGGGAAGAGAGAAAAGGTAAAAGAGCGTGGTATGAAGAGCTCTAATTTGTACCTTAATTGAAAAAATTTGTACCAAATTGAAAAATTCAAAAATTTTTAAAAGAATCTTAGAAAATTTTAAAAAATTGATTATGAAGATCTGTGCTCCTGTTTCACTGCATCAACAAAAAACGAAAGCAATAACGTTTATCCCAAAAGATGTACAAGTTAGGAACAACTTCATTTCCTGCACATCATCATTAACAATATCACTATCGCTAACGTCAGAGACAACAAGTTCGCTGCCTGAAAAATCTTCTTCTTCCTCCGAAAAGTCATCGGAGTAAAAGTAGAATTGCGTGCTAAAGCGTTCTGAGTCGAAATTGGATTTGAAACTTTCTTCTTCTTCTAAGCGCTTTTGTGATTTTTTTCCTGGCCCTCTGGTAGCACCAGGAAGTCAGCAGGTAGGTGACCAATTTCTTCATAACATCTTTTAGGATAATTCAAAAGTCATACGGTAACAGCCTGCCTGGACCCTTATACCAATCCTTTGAATGAAGTTCTTAGATAACAATGTGTTTAGTAGAAGGTTGACAAAACTTAAGTATTTGCTTAGATGCTCTATCGTTGTACGACTTCTGCGTTTGTTCTGATAACAGAGTAGATAGAAAATTTCGTTCTCCACCTCTGCCGTGCCCTTCCGGAATGGAAACTAGCCTTGCTAGTAAGTCCATCAGATTTTTGCGGTAAGTAATGGGAAGAGAGCCAGATCGCATATGCTTTCGCAACATGGGAAGGAAATAGTGCATACTTTTTTGGGCCTTGTCAAACTCTGGCTTCACCTCCTCTGGCATACGTCCTGTTAGCTGATTAGAAAGCTGCTCAACTTCTTCTTTAACAGCATCTGCGGAATAGCCGAAAAAAAGAAGGTACTATGCTGCGCGTTGTTTTTTTTCTCAATATCATAGGTCATAATGTCACAAGGCGAATAACTTTCAAAAGCATAAAGCACAGAGTTGGGTTCGCACTTCAGCCGGGATCTAAGTGCAGTAACTATGCTTTGTAACTAACACCACCCTTTTGTTCATATCCATGTTTGTGAATTTAGCAGCCTTGAATTCTTCAGCAACCTGAAGATCAGCAATGGACTTCCTGGACATTTTCTCATTGGAACTAGACAATCTGCTTGGATTCCTTATGCAGGAAATCAGAGAGCATCGCTCAATTGCCAACTCTGTATCAATGTCGACAACATTTTCGTCGGCGTAAGATTCTCCTTCTGCCTCGCTGTTGAACTGGAACACATGCGAGTCATCTGCGATTTTGTGAAGTATTCTTTCTGCCGTTTCCTCTTCAAACTGCCAACCTTTCCAAAACATTGAGGGATATTTTAATAACATGTTATTCTTTTGAATGTCTTAGAGTTTTTGATTCATTGAAACCAACCATTCTCTACAAATTAGGTAAGGTAAGTCTAGAGCGTTTTCACGAAAGTGACCTTCTTCAGCACTAGGTTTACAGAGTATAGATTCCAGAAGTGGGCGGGTTTTTGTGTGAAGGTGTGGAAATTCGCCTATCTCCCATAGTTTTTTGAGTGTGTGTTAATAATAATGGCATAACTGTCAATCAAAAGCGCATTTTTTACCAAAAAACATAAACATATAACAACGACAAGCGCGCTCAAATAGACGCGTTCGCTCACGTTCCCGTTAGTGCTGATAACGATGTCAATCCACAGCACATTTTTTACTATTAACTTGCTCCACCTCGCTCTTATTCGGTCGTCCAGAAAGTTTTTGCGCATGAATTTCAAAATTCATAACTTCTGATTTTTCCAACCGATTTGACTGCTTTCACTTTTATGTGAAAGGGTAAGCCATGCTCTTTATAATGACTTCTCAGCTGCTTAGTAATGGTCAGTTGTCTGGTAACGGTCTGTTGTGCATAGATAGGAGCGATAGAAGAAAAATGGTAAAAATTTTAATTTTCTGTGTAGGGTCATAAAAAATCGGAGACTTGCAACAAAAATCGGAGCAGTCAGTACTGTAGGATTTTTCACCAGCTCTTTCTAACAGTGCAAAGCTTGCGCCGATTGAGCGTCTCCATGAAAAGTTATGATTCCACTGAAAAATGCCAAAATAAATCAAATTCGCCTTTTTGTATTGCTTGCTCGGAAATCATAACTTTTCATGGAGACGCTCAATCGGAGCAAACTTTGCACTGTTAGAAGGAGCAGGTGATAGAACTTGTAGCACTGATTGCTCCGATTTTTGTTGCAAGGTTCTGACCCTCTTATGACCCTACACAAAAATTCAAATTTTGAGTGATTTTGGTTTTGAGCTTCTATCTATGTAACAGATGACCGTTACTAAGCAGCTGAGATGTCATTATAAAGAGCATAACTTACCCTTTCAAATTAAAAGGAAAGCAGTCAAACGGGTCGGAAAAATCAAAAGTTATGAATTTTGAAAATCGTGCGCAAAAACTTTCGAGACGATCTATACAATGTGTTGGCTTTTACGGGTCACCGGAGCAAATGATTTTTAGAGCCGGGAAGCAAAGAAGCCCTAACATGCTGTATACAATTCGAAAGCTGAGATCATGGAGAATCGACGTAGACCGTCGACTTTTTTCTAGGTCTTCTGTGCCGCGAGATATGAGGGATTTTATGTGCTTAAAAAATTAAGTAATTTTGTGCCCTCACTTTCTGCTCTCCAAATGAATGCTACGAGAAAGTCGACGGTCTACGTTTGTTAATGAAGACTTGCTCTTTAACACAGATAGATAATCAGCAGTGATCAGGTCTTCATTTGGCAGAAATCTGCTGTTGAAAATGACCATGTTTTCAGATAAAATGCGGTGTATCTCTCGGTAGAGGGGGGCTAGAGAGAAGTCGACGGTCTAGATCGAATCCCCTTTTCCTGAGCTTTCGAATGGTATATAGGTTGCTTGGCGAAAAAGCAGACCAGTGTTCAAAAATGGGGTGGAGATATTTACTATTAGCTTGCTGCAATCCGGCTCCACCAATGTATTGGCTTTTATCGGCTACCGGAGCAAATGACTTTTAGAGCCGGGAAGCAAAGAAACCCTAACATGCTGTATACCATTCGAAAGCTGAGATCATGGAGAATCGACGTAGACCGTCGAATTTTTTCTAGGTCTTCTGTGCCGCGAGATATGAGGGATTTTATGTGCTTCAAAAATCAACTGATTTTTTGTCCTCACTTTCTGCTTTCCGAATGAATGCTACGAGGATAAATAAATAATATAAATAAACATGAATACCGTTTCTTTTGTAAATTTATGAGTGTACTTGTTGTTTGAGGTACCTAGCCTGCAAAACCTTTTAATAACGATTTTTATCATATTCTCAGAGTAAAATACCAATCTCAGCCCAGGTGAAGGGGGTCATCGGGAGTTTGGCCTCAAAGTGAAGGGGGTAAGATCCATCACTCCCCCTATCGCAACTATGGGCGTTAGCCACGCATTCCGAAATTTTTTTGGCTTGCTTTCTAAATTCCCGGCCCCTCATCCCAAAATTTCAGAAAAAGTGGGCGTGACGCCGGCCACGCTCTCCAAAAAAATTTTTCTGTGAGGCTAGATTGGATTTTTGAAAAGTTTACAAAATTATTTTGATTCTTCACAAGTACAAATAAGTCCCTTTTTGTAACTCATGTAACTTTTAAAAATTTCGCGACCCTTCATTACGCCACTGGGTCATACCCATCCCACTGGATCCAAATCTATCCCTAGAGAGCCTGGAGGCCACGCTGTCTCACCATCGGAATTTATGGACCTCTCACCGCGTGTGTTCGCGGGTCATGCCACCGCACTTCACCAAATTAGGATCGGTTACTGATTGCCAATAACTTACGATAGAAAGAAAACTGCCAAAGAACTAATACACAACATCTGCCCAAACGACTTTGATGGTAGGCCGCAGGATGATTGACTGAACAAATTAGCTTGGGCTGCTGTCAATAGCTGTTAGCTTTGCGTAGTTGAAGTCGCTAATAAATGTGCTCTTCCAGCCTTTGAAGGGAATACCTTTCGGGTAGAAGAACGAATACTCCTATCAAACGAGCCTCGGACTGCTGACCTCAACATGGTGTGCGGTACAGTATGTAGCAGCATGTGCGAAAGATCACTTGTCTGCGGAGGCGGCGCTTGATGAGAGGTCGTTTTTCTGCTCCTTCCATCTCCTCCTTTCACATAGTTTTACCAATTGCGTTACGAGAAAGTTGGCGGCATATTCACCTCTGATCGGTTTGTTAATATAAGACGATAGAGATTCTCATTTGTCCCATTCTGCATGCCAGGTCTCTTCTTCGCTACCAAGAAAGTGAAATTAGTAAACAACGAATACCTGCAATCACCACTGTATTCCATTTTGGGCATCCAAGAGATGCAAACATCCCACTTGACGGTCAAAATTCATGAACATTCATTACTTGATAATCGGCATGTCTTACAGCTGCATAACTCTCCTAACTTCCCTCAAGACATACAAAAAATCGATAAAACCTGTAAGGGGCACCATCTTTTCATGAAGGCTCCCCTAAGCCTCATATATCGCTAATTAAAGTAATGAACATCAACAAAAGGCGAAAGGGGTTTGACGTCTCGCAGTTCCTCTCTGCGAGGTGCATGCGTTCAGTCTGTTTCGGATCTCTGAAATTTTCCTTTTGCATCCTACCTAAAAAATAAACAAAGACCAATGATGTTAAGCAAGTTTTGTTTATGATTTTATATAGAATCAGCTTCCTCATCATCACCTTTCCGCCGTTTTGCCTTTGTCGGAAACCATGCAGTGGATGGTTTCAGAACATTAGAAACGGACATTGCTATAGGGTGAGATTTGCTTACTTGTTCTCGATTGAAATTTTTCTTCTAAATCAGAATTTAGGCATTTTGTGATGCGCTGAATTTTACTAGTGCACAGAACGAATGCATAGCAGTTGGAGGACATCTAGCGCATATAAGAAACGAACAGGAAGACAAATTTGCTGCAAGTTGGTGGAATCCTCATACTTTCCTCACCAATTTCGATCTCTTCTGAAGGAGCCAAGGCAAAAAGTCCGACATTTGGCTTTTTCGCTTACCCGAACTTATCTATTGTGCAGAAGTCAAAAATTTACCTCAACGCGAAAAGTCACCAATCACGTCCAGTTCGCAGACTTGCAAGAAAAGCCTATATCTTTCCTTAGTCAATGCGGCGAGCTTACATCGTTGAATAAGTTCTGTGATCAGCAGCCAAGGAACCTCTCAGCCCATGTGCCTTGTAAAATCCAATTGCCGCGCTGCGCTTTGAACAGCAAGGCGCAGAGCGACTGGAGACGTGGGTCCCGACGCATTATAGGCTACTATTAGGTTGTCCCATAAGTCTTTTCATTTTTGAGTTTACGCTGTGACAAGTCGTGCGTCGTGCACTTCTCATTCTGAGTAGGCACCAGGATACTATTCGATAGAGCAAAGTAACTCTACGAGATAACGTCTATGATTTTGCACCAGCTTCGACCCACCTCAAGTTGAAAACCAAAATCTAAAAAGTTCCGGATGCCCAAAAAATTAAATTTTTTTTATTTTTTAGTTCAAAAAAGCCCTGCAAATCTCTCACTCGCTCACGCATATGCACTTCACATCAGACACAGTTTAAATTTTATCCGAATAGCTTTGTTGGAATGTCTTGTTAGATTTTCATGTAAAGAAATTTGGCTTCAAAAAGGTAATAGAAGTTATTTTTTGAAAAAAAGCAAAACAAAATTTAAGCTTGGATTTTTTTGCAAGGAACCATCACCCGATTGTTGCCCTCGATGAGCTCTACGATATAGTATGCTTACCTGTCCGGATAACTTCTGTTTTTGCTCCAAGAAAAGACCTAACAGAAAATTTTCGCGTTCGAAGAATCATTCCGCGACATTGTGACGCGGCCATTTTCGGACCTTTTTAGAAAAAGATTATTAGAACTTTTATGATACATGTTTTCCAGAAAGCGCATTGTGTGGGTTGTAGCACTTGGTGAGCTCTATCACCATATGCAATCAAATCTTGTTTTCCATCTGGAAAATGAGCGATGAAACAAGGAAGGCGGCTTGTTCGCAACTTTTTGGCGTCACTGTATATCAGTGGCATACCCAGGATTTCGGCTCGGCGGAGGGGGGGCGACAAAAATTTTTTTTCATTGAAAGTGCGTGGCGTCAGCCACGCACTCCGAAATTTTTTTTGTTATGTTTCCCAAAATTTTTCCGAGCCCCTGATCTAAATTTCAGAAAAAGTGGGCGTGACGGCAGCACGCTCCCGAAAAAAATCTTTTACAAGAGTAATTTGAATTTTTATAAATTTTTAGAAATTATTTAGATTATTCACAAAAATAAACAAGTCCCTGGGTACCGTTGTGTAGAGAGAGGTTAACCTTAGACTCATATGGAGCGAATCATCTATCGATCTTCATTACTGTAGGATTAGGTACAAACTTCAAAGAGGGTTTTGAGCCATAAAAGGCAACATCTTGCCACAGAAAGGAAATGAAACAGCCTGAAAAGTTTCACACTCGGCTAATTAGAGTTGTCGGCTAATTAGAGTTGCTGATTCTGAATATGAAGTTCTCAAATTATAATAATGTTTCATGGAAAAGATGTGCGAGGTGATCAGCAACGGCCGTTTTTCCAATATTTTTTATAAGTGGGGTTACACCGTTTAGAAAGCTTCGCGACTTTGTACGTAGTTGAGTATCGAACTCAGCGTCAATAAAAATCCTACTACACAAGTTTCACATTTTTTTTTGAAAATTTTTGAAACGGTAGCTTTTTTCAAAGTGACATTATATGCTTGGAGTTCCTATCGTAATCCTGCAGTAATGAGCGACCGGTGATTTGCTCCATACTGTAAAAGTTGAAGCCAGCTCTACAATAATACGGTACCTATAGCTTCTCAAAATGTTTCATTACAATAGAGTTATTAACAATCAAATAGTAAGCACATTTTTTGAGACACCCTGTATATTAGTGGATTTCCGGAGTTACAGAAGAGACGGAGTATTCAAGTCAGTTCTGCGTGATATAGACATGATATTGAATATAATGACATCTAATCAATATGTCTGCTGACTTGCTTTTCCACCTGTAGAAACATATCCATTCTTCCACTTTTTCATAACTATACGACACTTTTGAGCAAGATAATTTTCCGAGGAAAAGAATATGCAAAACGGGATTTTTATGACTAATCGGGCCACGGGCCATTTTCTACTTCATCAAATCCACTGAAAATGCTTCTGACAAACTCATGCATGTCTTCGGCTTGATGTTGTCGCACGTCCATAGCAAACTGCTTCAACTTTTTCAATGCCTTGTATTGCTTGTATCTGCTAAAAACACTGCGTAAGTAATCTCCAGAGATTTGAAGGACTCAAGACAAGGCAGTTTGGTCAGGTCAGCTCAATAGATGCTGCCTGCGATGGTGGCGGAGAACGGCGGTAAGTGACCCGCGCGCGTGTTCAGTGCCCTGTGCTGCTAAAAGTATTGTGATCGGCGCTTGCCGAAGGAGAACCAGTCGCTGTCTTTCTAGTACTTCTGGCAATCCGCAAAAATTTTCTCATTGAAATTTAAGCTTTTGAACCATACAAAATGCTCTCAGAATAGAGGAGTCTCCGTTAAAGTATCTCTTGCTAAGATGATATGGACGTTGCTCAAGTAAAGCCAGTCGATCTTCTAACCGTCGTAGTCGTCTGAGCTAAACTTTTTTGACTAGATTACACCACCAAATCATTGGCTCATCTTTTCCGTCATCTTCTAACAAAGCGCATATAACAGCACTAGGTTTCGCAGCAGCACGACGAAAGTGAACGCGCAAGCGGGTCACTTACCGCTGTTTTCCGCCAGCATCGCAAGCAGCTTATGTAAACGTGACCATACTCTCTTCTCCTGAATCCTTCAGCTCTCTGGAGATTGCTGGCAGAGCGTTTCTAAGCAGATACAAACATCACGAGGCATTGGAAAGTTGGAGCAGTTCGCTATGAACCGAAGACATGCGTGAATTTGTCAGAAGCATTTTCAGTAGATTTGATGAAGTGGTAAATGGCCCGGTGGCCCGATTCATAAAAACCCCGTTTTGCATTTTCTTTTCTTTGGGAAATTATCTTGCTCAAAGATGTCGTATAGTCATGAAAAATTGGAAGAATGGATATGTCTCTACAAGTAGAAAAGCCAGTGAGTATACATATTGATTGAGATGTCATTTTATTCAGTACCAGATGTAAATCACGCAGGACTAACTGGAGTACTCCCTCTCTTCTGTGAATCCGGAAATCCAAATTTTCGAGAGGTGTCGTACAGTTATGAAACCCGCCATTTTTCGTAGCGATTCGCTGGAGTCTTTTATCGACTTATTGATTTTTAGTACCTCGCATTGGAAATGAACTTATCAGCCGCTGTCATACCGATCGCACATCTTGGTATAAACGATGCAGTAAAGTTCATTTCCATTTCGCATTGAGGAAGATGCAACTTGCAACAATTACTGCTGAAATGCACTTATTTGTTTTGAAGTAAGCTCATGCAGGAGAAAAGGGGAGGGGCTTTCAGTGCATTTTAAGACTGCAGAAAAGGGGAAAAGATATGAAGTAAGAAGAAGGGAAAGAGGAAAGGCAAAGTGGGGTTTCGTCATCTACCTGAACGACGAGCCTGTGCTGGATAGGGAAAGCGAATTAGTTTTTAATAACGAACAGTTATGCAAACATTAGATAAAATGCCACTTAATACAAAAAACTCAAAACCTCCTTATTTCATTTAAGCGCTGAAACATGGAGTAGAGGATTATACGAACGATTTTTGGATTGGAATTAAACGGAAATCACATAAATCAAATGAATGGATCTATGTGGGTACGAATAAAAAAGCTGAGTATCTGAATTTCCATCCAAACCGTCCAGACAATTATGGCGGTCATGAAGATTGCGTTCATGTGAGTTTCGCGTAAAGATAGTAGTGTATACGAAGGGTGCTATTTTCAGTATGTTTATTCACAATACTGGAATCAGTGGAACGATTTGCAAGCTTGGCGAGAGAGAGCTTATATTTGTGAAAGGCATAACTGCATCAATTTAGAGTGGGATTAGGGTGCTCATTCTATTTTCTCTTCTTTGATAAATGTTTTGTGCAGTTGTTTGTCTGCACTTTTGATTTCATTTAAAAATTCCACCCGATTGTTGTATAAGCAGTGCCCATATTAAAAAACTCAAAAAATGCATCGCCGATTTTTCTCTGATGACAAATGTCAGGAACCAATTAATACTATAATCTTCTATCATTACCGTGAAAACATCGTCTGAAAACTCCCTTACTTTTCTTGCTCTTTCCCATTCATCAACAGTAACCAAAGTTGTATTTAAGCATAGGGTGGATGAGCTTGGCCTGCACTGAAATAATAAGAAGATTGTACCTGCTAAGCACTATTATGAAAAATTGATACGCGGCAGCACCCAAGTCATTTCCTGATCTTCGGATTACCCCCCCCCCCCCTTATCAGAAAACGCAGAAACGATGGGAAAAGAACGTTGAAAATGTACGGGCTGGAGGATCTTTTACAATTGAAGATGCAGAATAGTTGTATGACCAAACGATAATGAGTGCTCGCATTTAGCGTCGAAGGCAAAATTGTGTAAGTGGCGACACTATTCAGCTAGAGCATAGGAGTGCATATTCCCAAAGCGATTCACTCACTTCCATCACCGAAAGGGGCTGTATGCACCAATCTACCATCCAGGCAAGTTTTTCCGTTTAGGTTGTGACCCTGATTAGATGTGGGCGCCCTATTACTACGGTGCTCGAACGTAAGCTAACAGTGCAAAAGCCTGCTTGGGCGACGGCTTGTCAGCAACACACATAACACACACAACACACACAACACACACACAACACACACACAACACACACACAACACATACACACAACACACACAACACACACACAACACACACAACACACACAACACACACACAACACACACACAACACACACACAACACACACACAAACACACAACACACACAACACACACAACACACGCAACACACACACAACACACACACAACACACACACAACAAACACACACACATTTCGTACGTAAAGGTACTCGTCATCAGTCGCTTCATTTCATATGATCATGTGTGCCATTGCACACACAGTCCACTTTGGCGTTCTCATCCTGGATTTGCAATCGCAAGAACGCAAGAGACTTACCGATTGTTATCGATTACATCAATTTGAGGTGACTAGTAACTAAAAAGGAAAGAAAATGCTAAGAACACCTTGGAAACACTTACCTGAAGACTTGTTTCTCCCACGAATCCAGGATGGGGACGCCAAAGCTGAACTGTGTGTGCAATGACACACATTATCATATGAAATGAAGCGACTGTACTTTGCCGAGAAAAGCCCAAAAGCGTTCAAAAAAGTCCGAAAAAGTCCGAAAAAGTCCAAAAACGCAAGGAACGCTCCCTTCCTCGCGCACTTTTTTGCGCTAAGGTTTATTTGTTAGTTTCGCAACCGAGTCTTTCCGGTTCATTTTCTGTTGTCTGCACGTCAAAGTAATGTCAGAATTCTACCAAAAGTTCGTTTTTGCGTACCGCTTCTTGGTGTTTCGGGCTTTTCGGGCTTTTTTTTGCTTTTTTGGGCCTTCTTAGGCTTTTTTGTGGGTCAATGATAAAAGTTGCTTAAACTCAGGTTCGCTCCCGCTTGACAAAATAGATCGAATTCTTTGCCAACGATCGAAAATTAGTGTAAACTATACTCTTTTTCTTATTTGAAGTGAACGTTGCTCAAGCGCTTACTTGTGGCTAGAGAAAAGCGACCAGTAGTGTACATTCAAGAGAAATATTCATGTTGCTGAGTTTCCGATAAAATGCTACGCTCCGATAAAATTTTAGAACTGGCTACTCGTTGAGAGCGCGATTTAAAAAAGTTGGAATAATGTGATGAAATGTTAGATAAGCTATTCTTGACTTCTGATAGTAGCATTTATAGGCTGTTACGCCCGTACATATTTATGAATTGGCTGAGCAGAACTTACAACGGCTCGAGGAATTGCCTTTCCACGCACCTATTAGAGTGATCATTATACTGGTTTCTGACATTGCCATCATTGGAATTATTTTGTGAGCTAATGTTATGCAGAGAGTGATGGAGTATGATTCATTGATGGACTAGGCAAAGATGCAAGACTCCTCGTCTAGAAATTACTAGTTATCGATAACCACACCTAAGTTCGTATACACGTTGCAAGCGTTTGTATCTATTCAAAAAAACTTTCCAGAAAAATTGAAATTGAAAGGAAAATGACTTTCATACTAATTTTAAGTTCCAGACTAGTTTTTACTTCTTACTTTTTACTCATACTAGTTATTTTCATATTAACATCGAATTACGACTACTTGTCTTTGGCGCTCGCCATACTAACATCGCGTTTTGGGAGATTCAAAAAATTTGCAAGCTAAGGTCAACTTGTGCATTGAATGCGACGTTTGTGAGGGTTTGAGTAAGTGCTGAAATCAATTTTATCTTAACCCTACGTTCGTTCGTAAAAATACATAAATCGTAGTTCGGGAGCGCATTATAGATAGCAAAAACAGATTTGGACTGAGGTTTCAGTGCCTTCGAAGTAGTACCAAAATCATTTAGAAAATTATTTTTGCCTGCATCTCCTTTATCCTACTCCATTATTTTTTCCTCCCATTTACTAGATTCGATGCCTGCTGTTCAACCAATAAAACAGAAAATAAAAACATTGTTGCACGACTACGCTAAGCTCCAAAGCTGCTTTCCTGAAACCGAATCGATAAAGATTTCCAGGAGCGAAATTAGAGATAAAAACTTTCAAAAGTGTGATTCTTAATTTACTTTATTATATGCCTTCTTTGTGAAGATGTTGCTAGTTCTGAGGGATTTTCAATGATCTTTTGAATAAATGTTTGATAACATCACTAAAGTTCTGCGGAAGAGCTGCCAAACTTATGCGTGCTAGAGACTCAAAAATGAGTGCAACGTAGATTGGTCTCCGCGATGATCTTTGCGAGAAACAGCGATGATTCATATAGCTCAGTCCTTTCACGTCGTTCGTCAACAAGTGATCAAAGTAGTGATAAATCTGTTTTCGACGGTCAAAACCCACAGTTAAGCTATTGTGCACGAAAAAACGCGCTAACTCGTAATAAAGATTATCTTAGCGAAAGTCGGATACATATATTATGGGTCATTGTGCAGCTTATTCGCATTATTTCGGCCAATCCACCCGCTGTCTCCTTTTTTGATACGAACAGAGTTGTATTGATAAAATCTGTTGTACTCCTTTGAATGTTTACATCATGTTCCCCCAAACTTATAACGAATCTAATTTCCCCGCTTTCAGCTTCAATGAATAAATATCTACTTATCACAACATTTTTTACTCTTTGTCATTTGGTAAATAGTCAAGGTTATCTCAGTACATGTGCTAGAATGGATGTACCAATTCTTGATAAAGCTGCTGCAGCCCTTTGCATAACATCGTGCAGTGTACAGGTATGTATGGAAAGACATAATTAACAATATGTTCGTGATGGATGTAATATTGACCCAATTTTGTGGATTTCTTGCATTTTCTCGTCATTCCTAAAATTTTATCATCGTTCACACAATTGAATTGCGCGAATGCATACAAATGAAAAAGAAGAACACAATTTTTTTTTTGCAGAAAAATTTACTGATTTCTGAAAATGTTCCTTGACGGATTGATCTAACTATAATAGTCTTTATTTTCTCAATAGTTATCTACAAAATAGTTAATTTGTGTCTCCCATCATTTGCGCTCAGTTTACCATAAGTCTATGAGCTGTAAATTATTAGTAATCATTTCTTCCAAGCACCGCATTTGCTGGAATCAAAATTGATTCGCCGATTCAAGGCACCTTTCCTTCTTTTTACATGATATATCCTCAAATTGGAAACTTCAAAAACTTTCCAGATAAGTGCTGAAGTTTCAAATGGTTACCGCTACCAAGCCCAAATACTTTTCTGAGAGTTTATTACATATTTTGGCAGAGATTAAAAACGCGCAGATAGAGCAATTCTAGGGCTTTCTGGCTAACGTTTACAAATTCTAAATTTTTTAAAATCGGCTTCTAGCACCATTTAGCCCATGCTTGCGCCTGACACCTCAAAACCACATTTTTGAAAACAAACAAGGCTTTGGATATCCCAATCAAATTCGAGCAAAATCAAGCATCAGAGGCTTCAAAATGAATTCAAGACTAAAATGAGATTACTTGCTATTTATTCATAAACGTCATTTTTGAAACATGATTCTTTAAAATCGGTAGAACTAATTAACGAAGAACCTTCGACAATCGTTCTTTTGAATCTGCTCTAGCCGTCCGCTATTTGGACTCCTTAGCGGAGCCGATGTAAGAATTTAGAGAGATGTATGAACTTTGACATTGCTGAACCCATGGGTTGCACTTCCCGGTAATTTTCTAATGGCTCCTTAGTCGATTTGCTTGAAGCACAATTATTTGAGAAGGATGAAAAGCTATATTGAATGCTTCAAAAAATTAACTTTTGGTTGTACGTATTACTTTCAAAACGAAAACCTCGTGGATATTGGATATATAGATGTGGAAAAATTCGTGCATAGTTTGGTATTTTTGAAGATCGCATTCATCTTTTGTTTACTCGCATGCAGAAATGGCATTCTATTAGTATTTATATACATGTGAACTTATTTCAAGTCATCCATTCTGCCTGTCAAAATGTGCTAAAATGAATGCTATAAGCGCTCTTACAGAACTGTGGAACCGGATTGTGCAAGAAGGTGGGTGGACGTAAAACTTGTTACTGCTATCGATGTGCACGAGGAGGAAATGTTCCACTGGGGGATCTTGTCGGCAAAAAAGGAAAATAGCTATAAATTTTCATGGATATTTGTAAATCTTCGCTTCATTGTTGATTTATCTTTGTTATTCGCTCACAAGTTATGAGTACGGAAGGTGGTTGCGATATTGTCCGTATGTCGTTCGTAATATCTTCTGTAATTAGCATTTTTCATGGAATGGAAAAAAATATTTTTAGAGAAAACTAGATTGCCTGCCATTTCCGCTCGCTACAGTCGGTTAAGGCCCGGGATTTTGGCGAAAGTGGAAAATCAAGCAAATGAAGATGCATTGTGATACAAAGAAAAAGAACGTATAAGTCGAATCGGCTCAAACATGTCCCGGATTTGCTTCGTAAGCTCATTTTCCCCTTTTGATTCGATCTTCGATAGGGGAGCTACCGCCGTTAACACATCGTGAGCAAACGCATGTCTTGCGTCCCTTTCTGTTCTCGCAGTATTCAGTTCCACAATTCTGCAATTAGCCTCGAACTTGGGCTTGTGTTGGCTTTATGATTCATGAAATTATCATTATTCTGAGGGGTCAGATTAGCTAATAAATAAGTTCGATCGCTTTTGTGGCTCTTGCAATGTAGACATGTTATGTCTGGAAAGAGCACTTCAATGGGAATTGAAGTATAAATTCTGTCAGAGAAGAACTTTTTCAAGGGAAAAAATTGTGAGAAATCAAATTTATTTTATAATGAGCATATAGCAAAACTTGGTTTTTTTATCAAAAGATTTCAATGTGGCAGATCACAATTTTTTGTTAATTGCTAAATATGGAAACTCGTCTGTATCCAAATACAGGACTGCTGTTCTATACATCCATCACGGTAAAAACATGCTTAAAAATTTGAAGGATTGAGGTTTGGGATGAACGAATATCAACTTTGATAGCGTCAAAATGATAGTTTCGAAAAATTTGCAAAACTAGATATCGATAACAAAAAATTTAGATTGCATCTTGCACTCTATCTAACTTATTGAAGCACTCCAGAAGTCCAAAGCGAAAACTCAAAAAAATAGCTTAAATTAGGGTAGGTAAAAACCATGGGTTGAAGATTCTAACAATTTTTCAAGCGGACATCAAAGGAATGCAAAGAAAAACATAACCGTTAGGATGAAGAAAAAATTCTGCTTGAACACTGTTTAGAGCGTTTGTCTATCATCATTAATGATGAGCCTAGATCCAAAAAAACTGCAAGAGCTTTCGGACCCATCAAGTATAAACAAATGTTGTTAAGGTGGAAATTACATTAAAATATTTCAAAAATTCTAGCTTGTTATCTTTTAAAGATTGGGCTAATGGCAGCAAAGAATTTTTCTTATCAGTGAAGTGAGAGATACCCGTCCCACTTGCCGTATTTTATGCATATATCGTAGATTTTTTGTGATCTCTTTTTCTGATTACCTGTAACCTGCACGATGCTACACAAGCTGCTCCAGAAACTTTGTCGAGAACTGGCATACCCTCCTTGCGCATGTGGTGAGGTAGATTTCAGTGCTGGCCAAACCAAGAAGGGCGAATAGCACAGTGCACAGAAGAAGATTGTACATTTTTAGCTAAATTGCCGATTTTTCTAGATGACCATCAAATGAGACCTCATGACCAGGGTAAAGCGGGGGGTGCGGCACGCCGCAGGGGGGGTCGTAAGGGGGGTGGGGTAGGTAGGGGGGGGGTCGTATCGACCCAAGGTCAAAAGCGGTTTCTAAGGGGAAATGACTGCAGCTAAGTTCTTAGATGTGCCACGCTGTTGAAATCCTGCAAAATTCAAGTTCAACGACACAAAATGCAGATACCGTATGCCTACCGTAACCTACCGTACCTCTAATCAAGCATAATTGTCGTAATCCGCGTGTCGAATAACCCCTATGCGCCAAGTTTCAGCGAACTCTGAGGTCTCCGAGCAGTAAACAACCTTGTATAAAGCAGTAATTTAAAACATGATTAACTTCATCTTAACGGTGAGTAAGCTACCTCTTCTTGCACTCAATACAAAGCACTACTCCTTCTCTGTCCACCTCAGGAATCCCGCTTCAGAAGACCTCCAACCTATTGAATTAGAAGCCAACCAAAATCGCTTTTAGCTTTTGATCGCTGTGCTTTCACCAAATATTACTCAGAGCTAAGAAGACGAATCAGGCTCAAAACATCCCTATGCAATCTATGAGGTTTAGGCTATTGATTCATATAAATATTGTCCGCTAAAAATGTTTTTTTGATATAGTTAATGGCCTGCGGCACCCCCCCTCAAAACCTGCGGCAGCCGCAGGTTTTGAGGGGGGGTGCCGCAGGCCATTAACTTACCTTCAAATCGTTCAAACAGCTGCCTTTTTCAAATCATCCTATAGATTCATCCTTCCTCTCTCCGTAGTAGCTGTTTCCCCTCGAACCTTTTTCTTTAGAAGGAAATACATATGGTTTTTGCGAACCATATGCTGGGAAGTGTGGCCAAAAATATTGGGTTACGGTAGCGCTCGAAAGATTGTCAAACACACGGAGGCGCGAGATACGCGCCTTTGAATCCCACTCTCGTTATGAACTGTGATGTTCTCGCCTTTTTGTTCTTTCTTCTCTTTTTTTTTGATCACTTTGCTGTTTCACTCTCACGGAAATTAGAGGTTTCTGGGTCTGTTGGTCACCTCCGTTCTCGATCATCGAACAGTCTCGCACAGAGGATTATCGGATCGCGTCATCGGATATTGGTGGACAAATCATAATTTCTGAGCCAATTTCAGCATCGAAGAGATGCCAATTTTCTCACGCATCCACCAATGTGCTCAGTGAGTTTCACCATTTTCGTAAAGTATTCATATTTGGCAGTCTTTCATTCCAGGTATGAAGTGGTTTGTATGGAAGGACATGAGCCGCGATTTTCTTTTGTCACTCCATTCTGGAGATACTCTTATTCTTTGGAACACAGATAATGGAGAGAAAATCTGGTCTGTCTCATATAACGTCCCACTTTTTGATCTAGCAATCGATCCTTTCGACCCGTGCCATGCCTCATGTGAGTTTATATCAGCCGGGCCCATCATGTTCTTAGTGCTTTTCTTTTTTGCTTCGTTGGTCTTAATATCTATCCGAATATATTCGAATTTTTTTGATAGAACATTTCAGTTTCCTCATTAGGATGCAATATTGCGTTATGCTCTGATATCAGTTTCAATAATACTCCGTCAAGTACTTGCCGAACTGTAGTGATATGCGAGGAACAGATCAAATCTGCCACAAGCATACAAAACCTCGTCTATCATAATGCTTACCGTAATATCCTCTTCGTTGTTACTCAATCACAGGTGAGTTCTCGGCCTTTTTTTTTCATACTGACTGTTTTCTAATCATTATTTACTTTTGATGCCTTCTTGCTGCTGTTTCTTCTTTTATCTTGAAATAGGTTCCAAACCATGATTATCGTTTTTTAGGTGCATTGCTTTCATACCGAACTTTTTGCGGTGTTGTTTTCCATGACGCACGAACCAAATATCATTTCGTGGCTCTGCTGTTCTTCAAGCGATGCAATATTTTCCGTACAAGCTGGTGGGGCTGTCTCGCTAAGAGTTGGAAAATTCTCATCGAATGATGAAAGAGCAGATGCACAGTTTGCGCTAGAGAGGGTTAGTATCTCATGAGGGTATTGTTCTAATTTCTATACTGCTCCTCTTATTAGATCGCATTCGGTGACATCCAGCGTCAGGGTAACCAACAACGAGCTGTGGGTGCGTGTCTTTGTCCAGTCACTCAAAGCTTGCAGGAATTGTATATCGCTATTGCTATCTCTGGTGCTATACAGTATTTAGCTCTGGAATGAAGGACAGCAAGGTATGTATCAATAGCAAGTCGCTGCTATTACGGTCAGCTAAAAAACCATTTTTCCATGTTACTAAATTCATTTCTCTTTTATTAAACACAACAGCAGCTTTTTTGAAGTCATCTTTTTTGAGGTTGAGGATTAACAAGAATCCCGAGGCCAATCTTCCAGGTAATCGTCTACCTTCTTTATATATATCTAGTTCGCGTTTAGAGCATGAAAAGATGCATAATTTCTGTTGGCCATTTTAAATGTTTGGCATTTCTTCCAGGTGTCTGATTTTGGTTTGAAGGCAGATCTATTCAAGGCCGTTCCAGAGATGATTGCAGCTTTATGAACCAAATTCGCTCAATCTTATGCAGGCATTTTATTTATTCTTGCTTTCTTCCTACCCTCTCATAAAGTTTCTTCAAAATAAAATCATATGAGCTTATGCTACAGCAATGACAATACACCAAGAATAGTTTCACCATTTTATCGATCTTCAACAACTTGAAAACTCTGAGAAAAACCCGAGATCGCATGAAGCTAGCGACACCAGCACTATTTACGGTCTTACATTTCAATAGGCTTATGGGGTGGGGGGAGGGGGGGGGGTAGGGAATGGCGGGGGGGGGGTCGTGCCGAGGTCCGGCCCAAGGGGGGGGGGGGGTCGTATCCAGCGGTCGCGTGCCGCACCCCCCGCTTTACCCTGAATATAACCAGGTTTTTTTACCGAAGTGTATGTGATGCCGGGCGGAGCCGGGTATGCCAGCTAGTACTGCACTCAAAGCACATACCCTCGATATCATCCCATATGTCTTCCCTCAACATGACGTGGATTACGTGGCTTGATGAGGCGCCGCCTCGCCTTGGGCTCGCGCCACGTTGCGAGCGCATCATTTGGCGCGACGTGGCGCTCAACACAACGTGGCGCAGGCATTTCCACGTTCTTCTTGTTGCCACATTACGCCGAAAATGCGCACGCAACGTGGCGCAAACCCGAGGCAAGGCGGCGCCTCATCAAGCCACGTAATCCACATCATGTTGAGGGAAGACATATGGGATGATATCGAGGGTATGTACATGAGCGGAGCTAGAGAGATACGCAAGCAAAGAAAGGACTTAGGAGACAACCTGGTAGCAGTAAGTTCATAACATTATGTTGGTCTGATGGTCAGACTGACAATCGCTAAGCACTCAAGCTTCGTGGATGGTCTTCAAATGTTGAGATGAGTAAAAAGGGCTGGGCAGCCTTCGGAGACGAGAAACCCGATGGTGGAGTAGATGATGAATTTCAGCGGCTGATCCAAGTCATATGGAACCACTTCGTTCGGAATCACCTAAAGCTTATGATAAAGACAGAACTTTGAAAAGGAACTAAAAACGTCTCGGTTATTAAGTCTGCACGAAAGTTTCGCCGCACCCTCCAAAAATTCGGTGAGGAGTGGCTGTAGATTCGCCCTTAGCTAGGGATACATCGCCTGAAGCACGAACCTTTGAAGCACCTTATCCTACTCCCAGTGGCGTAAGTAACTTCAAAACCATCGCTATGACTCAATGATTAGTACTAGCAACTGCGGTAACTTTAACACTCTCCCCAGTACACAGCCTTGTCCTATACATAGTGAGAGTTCTTTCCTAGCGGCCAGTCAAGGAATATCCGGCTGCGACTCTGGGCAGGAGCGAGGGGGGGGGGGATATCTGACGTGCTGATCACAGACGCCGCTCCGTTTCGCACGTTAGGTCTACAATGCCATTCCAGTATACCGGCCCCAAAATTGAAAATCCTAGATTTCGCTGGAACCTCGTGTAGGAGGAGGTTATTCAGCACGCTGCTCACTAATAAGATTTCGTTGATGGTAGCATGTAGCAGATGTAGCATATACATGAACCCTTTTCGGTAGCACCCTATTGTGGAGTTAAAGGCAGTGTCCGGGCGAAAAGTCGAATTTGAGATTTTGTGCTTACCCGGGCCTATTCACTATGCTGAATCTGAAAATCCACATTGGAAAGCGTGAAAGCGGCAAAAAAGAGCTCTAACTTGGGAGGGAAATCAGAAGTGGGCGGGGTCTTCCCCACAGTGAATTTCGCGGTCCCAGCTTCTGGAGCGATCTTCTCAATTCCGCTAGCACTCTAAGACCTCCACAAGCCAGGTGCGAATGCATGACTTGAAATTGGAATCGAGAAGATCGCTCCGGAAGCTTGGAGCGTGAATCCAATTGGGGGAAGACCCCGCCCACTTGCTGATTTCCGTCCAGCGTTGGGGCTTTTTTCCGCCGTTTTCGCGCTTTCCGGTGAGGATTTTCGGATTCAGCATGGCGAATAGGCCCAGATAAGCACAAAATCTCGAAATCGAGTTTTTGCCCGGACACTGCCTTTAAGATGTCGAAATCGTATGATGTCAAAATCCAAGATCTCGCTCCAGATTTCGACAGAACCTTGTCCAGAACGGCGACACGCTGATCACAATGATCAAACACTTTTTGCGCAGCGAGGCTCTTGGTGGAGTCAGTGCGGTAAGGGGCATTCACGGAATGTTCGTTTGCCGCAGTGATGCGTTTAAACGGAGTTACGATATGTTATAGTATATACATAAACCCTTTTCGGTTTTTAAAGCAATTTTTAGACCTCTCCACACTTAATTTTAGTGGGAAATAAATTCAAAATTCGTCATCAAAACAATCGAATAACCTCTCTTAACAAAGTTCCACACATGCGTAGGATTCCAGTTGCCGCATATCTACCGCGACTTTGCGAAAAGCTATTCAAAAGCGAAAAGGTAATGATGCCCGTGTTCACCTTGTGGACTAACCGCTCTAGCCCGATCTCCACTCAAATGTGCGACTTTGACCCCAAATCGTATTCCCACCTAGCTCCGCTAATGCGCTTCCATGACGAATGAATTTCTTATTCGTGATCAGCATGCATATCTAACCCTTTCGGACCTGAGTTTTTGCGAGTGAGCCAAGAAGCCTCTCTCCTAGTGTTTTTTACTTATTACCATATGAATAACATTATAGCGGAGTTTGGAGTCTGCTTAACCTTATGAACAATTTCTTTTTGATTTTTCAATTTTTTGGTTTTGCGTTTATTTTGGATTTTCAAATCTCCCGCGAAACATGTGGACCCGCAAACAGTTAACAGTTACATTTGCTCAGCATCGTAGTAAAACATTATGATAATATTATGAATATTTTTTGGCTAGTAAACGAGATACTGAAACGGTGCTCAAGCCGGCGCAAATTATTGATTGGTTGAAATCCACTTGTTTACAGAATGGTACATGCTATTCACAGAGAAGCAAATGAACACCCGGTCTCGAAGCTACATTTGGAAGGCAAAGGCTATATGAAGCGTTTGAGAGCAATGAGTTGTGAACAGAGATGCGATGGGGGGAGCCGGGCCCACCGAAAGTGAAGGTGGCCGGCCAGCTACCACTGGCCGGCCAAAAGTGAAGGTGGTAGTGCCGGACACTCACCTCCCAAAAATGTCGACCGGGGGGGGGGGGGGGGTCGCAGCTACCACAGGGCAGCAAAAATGAAGGTGGTAGTGCCGGACACTCACCTCTCAAAAACGTTGACCGGTGGTGGGGGTAGAGAGGGGGGGGGCACAGGACGGACTTTGAACTGGGTTTTTTTTTCGGACTTTTGGGTGTTGTTTTTTTTTGCTGAAACTGAAAAAAAGGAAATTAAGCAAAACGAACGCAAAAGAAAGTATTGAGAGCATATTCTATGTAGTTTATTTTTAGGAAATCGCCGTCGCCTTCTGCGAGAACTGGAGGTCATCACCGGCATGGACGCATATACGCCTCAACACTTTCTACGATAGAGCAAAGCTTCATGATGACTTCGGACAACTGAAGAGCTCTAACCCAACGGTCCTCTTTAGGGCCAATAACTGCGACCCAACGTCCCTCTTTAGGGCCACAGATACGATGAACACAACGGCATAAATATTCGAAATAAACGTGTCACTGAAATGGTGTATTTTGAAGTGAAACTCAACGACACTCTACAGATTTTATTGAGTAAATTTAGTTATGTCGTACTGCGAAGAAAGTAGGTCGATCCAGGAAGTATTTGCCGAGAACCAGAATTTTGAATGAAAAAATAACCAGAAATCATGCAAAATTGCCACTGTTATAAACCAAGTGGTTGAAGATGTCAGCAACTGCGACTTCATAGGTTTTAAAGGGTAAGTGTTGCTCTAACAGATAGTGAAAGAATCGGGTCGATTTGAGCAGTGGTCGCTGAGAACGAGAATTTTGAAAAATTAGGCGATTTTAGGCTAATTTTTGACTGCTGACATTTGAACTCCTAAAACTCTTGATTGTGAAGATGTGTGATGTTGCGACTTCATAGATTTTCTAGGGTAAGGTTTGCCCTACTAGAATATATCTTACCCGTACCAATTCATCAAAGCGCCGCCGAGATCCAGGCTCTTGAAAAAACAGGTAAAAAACAGCTTTTTGAATTTCAACAGCTCGTAACTTCTCCAGAACTGCATGAATCATGTTGCGACTTCATAGGTTAGATTCCTCTCATTAAGGGCTTTCAGATGATATATGATATATGGGGGTTTGGGGCCTTCTTCGACGTATGACCGGGGGGAGACTTTTTAGGCCAAAGTCTCCCCTGGCGGCCTCCAGCCAATACATTAAAATGGGCGAGGGGGAGACTTTGGCCTAAAAAGTCTCCCCCCCCCCGGGCATATGCCGTAAGAGGCGCGAAACTCCCACATATTATATATCATCTGAAAGCTCTTGATAAGAAGAATTCAACCTATGAAGTCGCAACATGATTCATGCAGTTCTGGAGAAGTTACGAGCTGTTGAATTTCAAAAAGCTGTTTTTTACCTGCTTCTTCAAGAGCCTGGATCTCGGCGGTGCTTTGATGAATTGGTACGGGTAAGATATATTCAAGTAGGGCAAACCTTACCCTAGAAAACCTATGAAGTCGCAACATCACACATCTTCACAATCAAGAGTATTAGGAGTTCAAATGTCAGCAGTCAAAAA